AGCCTGGTCTTCGCCAGTGCCTGCTCGCCGCCCTCCGCCCCAGCAGGGCTGTAGGGCAGCAGATCGGCTTTGTAGACCGGCTGTGGGTGAGACGGGGCTCAGGGCAGGGCAGGGATTCCATCTGCTCCTAGGCAGACAGGGACCACCGGGGACCGAGCGGGGCTGGGGGCCCCGGGAGCCCTGCCCTGCCCCGCAGCACAGCAGGTCTGGAGCAGGGGAGAGGAAGGAGGTGCTGCCAAAAGGGTGGGGGACAAACAGGGCCAGGCCTGCCCCACGCATGAGCCTAACCCCAAAGGTCCCATCCCCAGGGCCAAGGCTGCTGCCACCACCCTTCCCCACCACGCACCCCCTGCCCAGGTAGGAAGGGCACGACACGCACACACACACACACGCACGTGTGTGGGGCAGCAGAGGCCCTGAGGCCGGCTGAGGATGCTCTTCCAGCGACCCAGGACCACATCTCCCACCCTGCCCAGCCCCACGCGGTCGCAGACGCCCCTGGGCCCCCCCCTCCGCCCCCTGGGGAGGGACAGGCTCGGAAGCGCAGCCAGCTTGGACACAGGCAGGGACACCACCTCACACAGCTGCCACAGTCCCTCATCCGAGGGGTAGAGGGTGACCCCAAGAGCCAGGGCCTCACATGGCCGGGCGGCATCACCCCTATCCACGAGCTGCGAGACCCAGCTAGTGTTGGGTTTGGGGCAGGTACCCACCCCTCTGACATGGCCCCTGGGACAGAACTGCCCTGCACCAGCCTCTTACCCACACGGTTCCCTTGCGAGGGGCCACAAAATAAGCCTTGAAGCCCAAGTACCCGGCGTCAATATAGTGGATCCCACAGAGACCGTAACTGTAACAGAAAGGGAATGGATGAGGATGGAGCTCTGTGCTGCCACCCTGAGACTGCAAGAGCCAGGCAGCAGCCCACCTCCCCAGAGACCCCAGGGACCCAGGTGGATGGAGTGGGGCTGTCCTCACTCTAGCAGCATGTCACAGCATCACAAGGCAGCTCAGGGCGGCTCCCGGAGGCTGAGAACACACCAAGGCCCCAGAACCCTTCTGCCAACTTGCGTCAGCCTGGGGCCACACAGGAGCCCCGCTGCCCAGCCCAGCTCAGCGGCCTTGTCCTTTCCCT